TTCTTCTTTCACAGTCCACCTCCAAAATATGATATTTTTTTTTATCATTTTCCCTGGTCTATCCTCACCAGCAAACCCCTCCAGGGGGCACCACCTGTAATATTTGGCTTCAGCCACTGGTTAGAGGGGCTCACCTGAGTTTTGTGGGTTTTTTTGTTTTTTGTTTGTTTGTTTGTTTTTTCATTTTTTTTTAAACAAGACTCATTCTGCTATTTTAAAGAAATAAAAAGTAGCCAGTGTACCCTAGTTTTTAAAGGGAAGTATGGAAAGGAAGATAGTTTAAGGAGAGGTGCCCTGCTTCACACATGTCCCTTTTATGTACTCTAGATTCAGTGGGTAGAGGAAAGAGGTCACCTCTTGTTCAGCAGAGGTGGTAAATAAGCCATGAATCAGAAGTTAACAAAAGGTTGGGCACCCCACCATTCTAAGCCACAAAGTCACCCATTAAGCACAAGCCCAGCTACAGTAGTAACTTGCAAAGGCAAGCAAATCTCACAGTTCAACTCAACACACAGTTTCCTGAGAGTGCGCTGGCTCACAGTGGCCAGTGTACAAAGGCACCTGTCTCTGAGTCAAAAACCCTAAGGCAGGAGGAAGAAGAAAGAAGAACTGGAAAGGCCAGTCTGGCAGTCTGAAGAGGTCATTGATGTGGGTCAACCAGCAGTCATGACCACTTTCATCCCACCTACTTTCTGCAAATGCCTAGAGGAAAGAAAAATATAATTATCCTGGCCAACTTAATCCAAGAGCAATGACATAAAGGGGGAAGCAAGAAATTTCTCCATACCTGGGGAGACATCTTCCAGGGTAAGAGTGGATGGGTTGATTGTATTTTTAGAAAAAACAAACCAAATTTTCTCTGCAGAGAATTGCTTTTCCTGTTCTTTGTGTCAACACCTCTGAAACCAAATTGCTTTTTGAACAAACAGAGCCTAACACTGAAACAATGAAATCTCATGTCAGCATGGCAAAGATGGGTATACTGATTCATCAGTGAAGGAAACAGAGATGCCTACAATGAAAAACTAAAGGTGGAGGGAAAGGAAATTAATTCTGATAAGAATTCCACTTGCTTGAGTTTTAGGTTAAAGGTGGAGTAATATTTTATTTTCTTCAATAAAAGTTAACATGTGGGAGTTTATGGACACCTAATTTTTGACAAAGGAGCAAAGAAGATACAATGAAACAAAGAAAATTTGTTCAGCAAGTGGTGCTGGGAAAACTGGGAAGCTACATGCAAAAAAATGAAACTAGATCACTGC